TAAATAGGTTATTTCGTGGTTGTGGACTATAAAGATGTGGGCAAAGCTAGCCAGATGATAGTATATGTTATGATTCATCATTGTGGACTTTTGGAGGGTTATTCATCTATCTGTGGGTGACTAGACCTGATTTGGAGGTCCACTAGTAGGCCCAATTTGGATGTGTATTCTATACTAAGCCGGATTGGATGGCTCCATATTGCTATTGTTGAGGGATGTGCCATTCGGTTAGAGTTGATTTTATTCGTACCAAATTTGTTCTATGTGCTACTCTTCCATGCTACGAGAGGTTGTGATTCGTTGGTTATATGCACACATGGTATGGTTCCATTTGGGTTTTATAGCGAAATTTGAGTGAGATGGTATTTGGGTGTTGCATGATTGATTGAGCATGGGTTACGTTCTTACGGGCTTGTGTAGCATTGCGTTGTGGTGCTAATTTTTAAGCTTGTGGGACAGTTCTCTTGTTTGAGTCATTTTCCATGATTTGAGTATATTTGGATTGTTCTTATTGGTGCACGGATTGCAGGGATTGTGGTTTTAGATTGTATTGATGTCTCATGTCACAAGAGTGGTCCTATTGGATGAGATGAGGTCATTGGACCTAGAATGGATACTATCAGAATTGATTACAACATGTTGGAAGGATAATATCTAAAGTCGGCTTAGAAAATTTGCTATAGTTCTTGTCGAAGGAGAGGGGGATTCCACAACTAGTTGATCTGATGAATAGTTATGAGTTTCTGCGTGTTTCTTGATAAGAGGTTTACTACCAGCATTGAGTTATTTGAGCAGCTGTTGTGATTGGAAATTATCTCGCTATGAGTATTTGAGTTTTTTGGTATATCATGTGATTACATCTTTGGTTATGGATATGGCTTGATACATCTTGTTTAGACTTAAAAGTTGTGTAGATGTGAGGTTCTAATCTTATAGTAAACTCCTGATGATGGAAATTGTATTCTAAGGCTTATGGGCTAGGTTGAATTAAGGAATTTCAGTTATGTTGTGTTATCAGACCTATATGGGATAGGATAACGTATGATCACCCCCCATCCCGGGTATGTACATGGTAAGGTTACGCTGCGGTTTGATGGCTTTGAGAATAACTCTGGGCACGTTCGAGGACGAACATATGTTTAAGTGGGGGAGGATGTAATGACCCGACCGGTCATTTTGAGCATTGGAACTTCGCATGGTTGTTTGAGGGTATGAGTATCTCCGTATGATGTATTATGACTTATGTAAATCATCAGTTTTGATTTTCAGGTTATTTGAAATTAATTTGGAAGTATGATCCTGAGCTAGAAGCTTTAAAATTAAAAGGTTTGATCAAGTTTGACTTTTTAGTATTCGACCTCGGATTGGATTTTTGATGGTTCCGTTAGCTCCGTTGGGAGATTTTGGACTTAGGAGCATGTCCGAATTGCGATTTAAAGGTCCGTAGTAGAATTTGTCTTGAAATGGCAAAAGATGGAATTTTAGAATGTTTGACCGGGTTTGGACATTTTGATATAGGGGTCGGATTCCGATTCCAGAAGTTGGAGCAGATCTGTAATGTAATGTGACTTGTATGCAAAATTTGAGGTCAATCGAACGTGAGTTGATAGGTTTCGGTATCAGTTGTGGAAGTTTGAAGTTTCAAAGTTCATTAATTTTGAATTGAGGTGTGATTCATGTTTTTCGCGTTGTTTGATGTGATTTGAGGCCTCGACTATGTCCGTGACATGTTTTGAGACTTGTTGGTATGTTCGGACAGGGTACCGAGGGGCTCGGGTGAGTTTCGAGGTGGTTTCAGACTATTTCTAGGCCATTTCTAGTTGTTGGTTTTTGGCTTCAGGAGTGCAGTGCGTTAACGTAGATCTGGCTGCATTAGCAAAAAGAAAAATAGGAAAAACGGAGTTGTGTTATGCGCTTGCGGAAGCATTCACGTGATCGCATAAAGTAAAATCTCTTCTGCACTAACCCGACTTTGAAAGCTTATATCTCACAATCTATAAGGAATTTAGAGATGATCCAAAAATAAAAGTTGTAGCCCTTGATGTCTAGGTTTTAGAAACTTAAACCAATTGTAATTTGAAGTTTTGTACCAAAAGTTGTTACTATTATACTAGAGGCTATTCGGAGGAGTTGGAGAAGGTTGTTGAAAAAGAATTTGTTCTTCGCGATCGCCGGAGAATCGCCGCGATCGCATAGAGTAAAAAAGTGGCTAGAAAATTTTATGCTTCGCTATCGCATTAGTTTGTCCGCGATAGCATAGGGTAAATGTCTGGGAAGATTATAAAGTACTCTATTTCGAGGGTTTCGACCATTTTTGCATTTTTTAAGCTATGGAGCTCGGATTGAGGCGATTCTTGAAGCAATCTTCACCATATGAATTGGAATAGGTATTATCTAATCGGTTTTGGTTATATTTTGTGAATATATCTTCAATTTTAGCAATTGGTTGATGAATTTAAAGAGGAAATTGGGGGGTTTTGGCCTAAAGTTTCATAATATGAATTTTTGAGTTTTGAACACCGATTTGGAGTCGGATTTGAGTGAAACTAGTATGGTTGGACTCATAATTGAATGGGTTGTTGGATTTTATTAGTTTTGTCGGGTTCCGAGGTGCGGGCCCGGGTGTAATTTTTGGCCGGATTTGGGATTTGATTTAGGATTTGATCTTTATCATTTGTAATTATTTCTTTGGGCTTTATCTGATGTATTTGAGTTGCTTTTGACTAGTTTTGAGCCGTTCGGAGGTCGCTGTGATAGCATTTTTAGAACATCGTTTGGCTTGCTTGGTATTGGAATTGGCTTGTTCAAGATAAGTAACTCTTCTAAACTTAGTGCTGAGGGTATAAAATCCTGAATTATGTGTTATGTGATTGGTATTGAGGTGACGCACATGCTAGGTGACGGGTGTGTGGGCGTACACCCTGTGAATTGTGACTCTGTTGTTCCATGATACTGTTTAATGGTCCTATTTTGTTGATATATGTGCTTTCACCATGTGATTAAGTAACTGAGCTTTCAAATCATGCTAGATATCCTGTCTAGGCTTTATGATGATATTGTTAGGACCCATAGAGGTCGTTTCTTGCTGTTATCTTACTGATTTCATTGATATTTCGTACTCAGTCATATTTATGCATTCATATCATAGCTCAGTCTCAGTTGTTATTTATTGATTCATTATATCATTGTTGTCGGTCTAGTTTCATGACATTCTGAGCTTGTGAGTGAGACTAGAGAGATTGATGACTGAGTGAGGCCGAGGGCCTGATTGTGAGATATTGAGACTATGGCACGTGAGTTTTTCGTATAGCACGTGAGTTGTCCGTGCGGATTCTAATCTTTATACTTTGGCATGTGAGTTGTCCGTGCGGATTCTGATATTGATGTTATAACACGTGAGTTGTCCGTGCAACACATGAGTTGTTCGTACGGATTATAGCCCTTGGGCTGTAGGAATCCCTTCGGAGCCTGCAGACCCCAAATGAGCGCAGTCGACTACGTATATGTTTATAGATTGGGTTGCACGCCGCAACGGGTATTGTACAGTGCTGAGTGATTGATAGCACGGTAAGAGATAATGCTAGATAGTGAGGTTGAGCACCCTGAGAGTGTGAATACATGAGTTCACCACTGAGAAGCATTGCATTTGACATACGTACTTGAGATACATGCATAGAGATGCATTTTTCTTTTGCTGCCCAGTTTGGTAACATTCACGATTTTTACTTGTATCATGACATGTAGGCATAAATATGTACTTTCCTCATGCTATCTGAAAATGAAATAGTTACCTAATGAAAAGTCTTAGGAAAATGTTACAGTTTTCAAACTTACTCATATTTTTTACGATTTCGGTAAAAGTTTTGGATTTTCACTGATATATACTTAAAAAGCGGAACTATTTTCAAAGAACTATGAAAAGGATGAATATTTTATCTCTGAGCTACTTCTTTATTTGCTTGCTTTACATTGTTATGAATCGCTATTGGTTATTGCTGTTGGACCCGACCTATGTTCCAACTCGTCACTACTTTCAACCTAAGTTTAGGTTTTTTACTTATTAAGTACATGTGGTTGGTTGTACTTATACTACACTTCCTACACATTGCGTGCAGATTTCGGATGCCGAGTTGTTGTGTTCGATGGGAGTTGAATTGGAAGATGTACCTGCATCCCTGTTGTAGCGGCCTCTTGTTCATGGTAGCCTTAGAATTATAAACTCTGTTTATGTACTTTTTCAAACAGATGATGTATTTACTTCATATCAGCTTTGTAATCTCTATTCTTAGAAGCTCATAATTTGTACTACCAGCCCTTGAGAAATGTATAAGATTCAGATAATTCCTTTGTTTAATTGTCTTATTAATATTATTGAAATTGGATAGTTATTAGTTGGCTTACCTAGCAGGTTGAGTTAGGTGTCATCGCGGCTAGTAAATTTTGGGTCGTGACATGCAACTTTTCAATTTGCTATTATTATTTCATATCTCATAAATTATGACGAAACTGATGAAAAAGAAGAATAATAGAAAGCAATGGCGGAAGAGATGAAATCTTTTGTAAAGAATGAAATATGAGAGATAATGAAGTTACTGTTGAAGTTTGGCAAAATGCCAAAGTCCCACATTGGTTGGGAGTTAAGTTTGGAGGGGATTTTTCCCCTATAAAAGAAGGCCTAATGTTTAGGATTGAAACACACCTCTCATTTGCCTTCTCATCTGTTTAAGGCATTTGTATCTTCTCTCTTTAGTATTATTTCACTTGTATTTTTGGAGTGGAATAAAATATTGGTTGTGTCCGAGGAGTAGGCAAAATTAGCCGAACCTCGTAAATTCTGGTGTTTCCTTTATTGTTGTTTTATTGTCTTATTTATTATTTGGTGGCTGTCATAATTTTTGGTATAGTAGTTGTGACTTATTCACACTATATACATTTGGCTTCCGCAACAGTTACCATAAGGAAAAAGTGCAAGTGGCTTGAAGTGAATGTTCAAGACAAAGTTTGCAACAGATGGGAGCCTACAGAATCTAATATAAGATCACATGTTACAAAATTGAAGCATCTTGCACAGTAGTGTTGTATGCCTATTAGCTTGATCATCCACTAATAAAATGGCGAATTAATGACTGAAGTTGGAGTCAAAATAAACTCAATATGACCCAATACTATGCCATAGGTTCAAATCCTAGGACTAATATGGTACTACAAGTATATTTTGAGTCGCCTTACATGTATTCCGATACCGCCACTACTCTCACATTAGGTGAAAAATTCAGAAATGTCAATCATCAGGTTAGGATAAATATTATCAACTTGATCATCCACTGATAAATCCGAGTACCCACAAAAGGGCGAATTAATTACTGAAGTTGGTGTTGTACTAAACTCAATATGACTCAATTTTGAGCTCTGCAGAATCTGGTCCATTTCAAGCTCCTCCTCTTGGGTAGGAAACAATGGCAAGTATAAGGATTCTGAGGTTATTGGAGATGTAAATGGATCCATTGAATTGGCAAAGAATTGGGATTTTTCACTTTCTGATTTTAGTGGTGTGAATGATAAAGTTTCTTCTTTGATAATATTCAATTTTTCAACATTTTGATTTCCCACTTTCTGTTTCTGTAGCTGATATTGATTCTTGTTATAATTTGCCTTTTGGTTTTCTTCCGAAATGTCTACTGATTGTGAGGCTTTGCAATTGTGCTTTCCTTTATATGTGACCTCAAAGACTAAAGGGTCTTCATCTGATTGTTGGACTTGTTTTGTTGCTAAGCAGCCTTGTGTATTCTTGTGAGTGCATCTGTAATAAGCCCTGCAATTTCAAAGTAAAATTCTTCTTAGATATACATTTCCAAAATCTATTTTCAGTTAAGCAATTTCTTGTACCATTCCCTAGTATATACTTAAAACCAATTAATCAGCTGCATCCGTGATTGCGCGGAATCGTGAATTTTCTTAAGAAAAACACTTATTCTTCTTCTCTAGACACATTTGAATATATCTTAGGTGTATATAAGGGTGGAAAACGGGCGAGCCGGACGGATATGGGCGGATTGAAAATGGGTAATAAAAAAACGGATAAAATATTTGATCAGCTCATATTTTATACGGATAGAAAATGGGTTAATCGGTGTAAAATTGAATGTGATCACTGCAGGAGAATTTTAATCTCCCAAATTTGAGAAACCCCCAATTTTGAGTCTTTGCTAGTGAATAATATGGATCTCATTTTTAAAAAGTTCATTATTCAACTTATTTTTTAGTAGATAATATGAATGAATGATTAACTTTTTTATTCATTTTGCAACCATTAGGTGTATAATATGGAATACTATGAGTGTCTAAATGAAAAGACGTGGCAATTTTAGTGACTGTCTACATCCAAAAATTGAATTGTTGTAAACTTAAGGACATTCTTGTATAGAATATTCTATAAGCTAAAAACTATCACCAGCTAACAAAAGTGGGGAAAAAATGAACTTTAGATTTGTATAAGCGCATATTCTAAGTGATATTAACTTGACTTAACAAAGATAACTTCAACAACTTAAAGTTGGTAATAAGTGAAGTGTAACTACCATACCATAAATAAAATTAGGAATATATTGGGAACACAAATTAAGGGTTAAATGCAAATTATGTTATATCAAAAAGGAAAAAGTAACAGAAGGAAAAGGAATAGATTTTTTTCACCTTGGATGATTGGCTCCTAAAATATCTTTCTGTCCATATTTTCTCCAACTATAGCCATCATCGTAATTAGGACCTTCTATGCCAGATATCCTAACTTGCTTACTCCATTGCTGCAATAACTTTCTGCAAATCCAACAAATTTAGAACAAAATCCAATGTTTTAATTTCAAGAAACCATAGAGAATGGTTTAATTGAGGCCTAAATTCACCTTTTCTTAAAGACCATATTTTTGCCTTGATCCCTTGAATAATAATCCAAGTCAGAAACCTCATTCTTTGAACACCAATAAGGTTCTCTAATTACATTAAAAGCCTTCAAATTCAGAATTGACAATGATTTGTCAAGGGAGGAAAGTATTTTTTCAAGTAGTAAATCGCATTCCTCTGGTGAAGCCAAAGGATCAATCTTGCTTTTTAGCCTGTTAACAAACTCCATCCCCTGAGTAAGCTCAGTGATCAGTGTCTTTTTCTCCCAAGCTTTAACTTTCTCCATTTTGGTATTCTTCACTAAGAAAAGTGCATAAACTTACAATCTTTTTTTTTTTATTTATGAGAAAAGTTATGCCAACGGCACTAATGGGAGTGTCTGAAAACAAGAACATATGTAAAGGTTCAAATGGCAAATGAGTATTTGAGATAACTGAGCTTTATAAAGATGACAAATATTGGTCATTAAATGACAAGAAATAAGAGGACAAATGAAGAAAGTAAAAGAGAAGTGAAGGTTCTATGTAACTACATAAAGGCTATGTTATTATTGCAAAAAAAAAACTATTGAAGGATAGGGGATATGTAGAGGAAAATATGTGGAAATTAAGGAGGACAAGAATTTGTCATGTGAACAAAAGGGAGTTAGAAATTTTCTTCTACTTTCCTATGGATATGGACTATGGAGAAATTCCAGAAAAATTCAAGAAAGTTTCAAAGGGGGGCCATTTTGGGCCACCACCTATTAATCACAACCCTTTTCTTTATTTTATTTTTTTCCCTTTTCCTTCTTGTATCTCTTACTTGATGCTCTTATCATTCTTGATTAGTAAGCGGTGATGGATTTAGAATTTTTATTAAGGAGGATCAAAATATAATGAGGTAAATTCACACGAAGTTAAGACGTGTCAAAGTATAACATCAATACATTAAAAAAAATAACTATTTATACAGTGTAATTTTTTGAGGAAGTCAATTGACATCCCTAAATACATGTGGCTCCACCATTGACTAAGTAGAAGTATATTTATTGGCCTTCACAATTGCTACCTACCAAAACTTTTTCAATAGTTAATCCAATAATGCTAATCTGTCCAAATGCCATAGACATCTAATGTTGCTACGTCAGACAATTGTGACAATGCATATATGGAGACAAATCGTTATAAGTGCCTAAAGGGTCCTCATGAATGGAGTTACTTAGATTTAATCAGAAATTTTAAATGATAATCTCAATATATCTTAATAAAGCCTTAAAATGACGTGCTCTTATGTGGCACTGATATCCAAAACTATAAGATTCAAATTGATGTGGTTGAGGTTTATGCTATCCAAATTTATTTGCTGTGCCAAACTTGTAAAGAAGATTTGAGCTTATTAATTAGAATTATATCTAAACCTCTATTGGAAAAGGTTGACATGTCTTCCATTTTCTTTTGAATATTTTTTTTATATTTTTATCATTTTTTTCACGTGATATAGTTTTTAATAACAAAAAATAAACCATTAATGTAATTTCATTCAATTCTATTTCTTGATTCAGATATTTAAAAAAAGTAAAGGAAAAAAGGTCAAATCTCCTCACTATTCAAAAGGGATGTATTTTGCCATCTCTAATGGGGAAGGGAATAAATTGAGGTGGCAGGTAACATGGGATGGTGTTAGCTATAATGGAGAAAATTAACGACCGAAGGGCAATTTTGAGCCATTTTTATAACGTTGGGGATATTGTTAAACTGATAATATAACCATTTCAAATAGTGGATGCACATTTGGCCATTTTCCGGAAAGTTTAAGCCTAATAGCAGACATATTTCTTCAAAACAACGTAGAAAACAAAAATAGTGATAAGAGTAGTGAAAAATAAGGTGGAGGATGTATTATGGCCCGTTTGTCTAAGATATTTTTTTGGTTTTTTTTTTTTCAAAAACGTATTTGTCCATAAAAATTTGTAAGTTTTTGGAGATTTTTCAAAAATAAATTTTTCAAAATCTAAATTTTCAAGTTTTTTGAAAAAAAAGCCTTTTTTTTCTACTCACAAGATTACAATATTTTTTTTTAAGTGAAATACATGTTCAATCATAATTTTAAAATCTAAATACCAGTTTTCAACTAACTTCAAATACTACATTTTTTTAAATAATACTTTTTTTTTTGTCCAAACGCCTACTATAATTATTTATATTAAAAATGCACACTTAGAGTCAAGAAAAGAGAAGTGAAAAGAGAAGGAAAGGAAGAATCTTCAAGCATGGTTCCGTGTTGTTGCCTTTGACAAAGGGGCAGAGACACCGAGAGAGAGAGATGACGTTGATTGGCCAGTGTCACCAATAAACCCTTGCTTACATTTGTATAAAATGCCAAATGTTATTGTAAACTTCATATAAAGTAAAGCTTTTTAAATAAACTTACCACGATGTGGAATAGATCATACATCTATTTCATCCTCAGAGTTATTCAGGGTAGAGAACACATTTCTCTTGAATATATCTTATGTAGCACGAATCTGAATTATTAGGTGAGACACTAGTATCCAACGAGCAGTGACGGTCAACTAACACATCTTTGCCGAAAAATAAGTTGTTTATATAGATGATTCTATTTACTTCTTCATACATTTATTTTTTAATATTTTGAATTTCGCTACTACTTACAATGAATAAAAACAGAAAAATTACTTATAAATGCATTCTCATGAATATTGCACTCCCTCGTCCTCTCAAAATAAATAGTTGCTTCTTTTTACATAGTTAACATCGTTATGATAGGGCACTGGACACCACAAATGTTACTTCGTGTCTCCTTGTATTATATTACTAAAAGTTTCTTAACTCGACACAGTGGCATTTTCAGAAATTCTGTCGAGGTTATTCAAACTTTACACAAGTCAATAATTTTTTTTATCGATAAATAGTGTATCAAAATTTTTAGATAAAACTACGATATATTTAGCTAAGCAGTTAAAAAAATATTAATAGAACTATAATTATAAATAAAAATTAAAATAACAAAAAGACAACATTAGAAATTTTACTAATAAAAGTAAGCATATCAAAAGAAAGAGAGAGTCGAGAAAATTTGTAGTTTGTAGGATGCTTTTGTTGAAGAAATTTTTTGTAAAGCTTGACTTTTAAATTACAAATCTATTTATGAAATAATTTTTAATTAAAAAGTTACTTTTAAAATTAGTTTTTTATTTCTACGCAAATTTTAAGTTTTATGAATTATTTTATTAGAATTTTTTAGAATGGAAAAGAATCAAATAAACTACACATGGTGGTTTTCGTTTAGCTTTCATAAATAAAATGGGCAGAACATTGAACCCGTGAATAATACATCACTTTGAACACCTTGAACTGCTGGTGTAACGACCGGCCGATCGTTTTGTATCCAAGGTTGGAAGTCTAAGTTGAAAGAGTTGATCGAATATTGACTTATATGTAAATGGTCCCGGAATGGAGTTTTGATGGTTCTGATAGCTCCGTAGGGTAATTTTGGACTTGGGAGTTTGTCGGGATATTGATTTGGAGGTCCGTATATGATTTTCCCTAGAATTGACGAAAGTTAAAAAAATAGAAGTTTGGAGAATTGAGAAGTTTAACGAGAGTTGACTTTGTAGTTGCTGGGTTCAGATTTTAGTTCTGAAAGTTGGAATAGGTCTGTTGTGTCATTTATGACTTGTGTGCAAAATTTAATGTTAATCGGAGTTGGTTTGTTATGTTTCGACATTAGTTTTTGAAGTTAGAAGTTCATAAGTTCGTTAGGCTTGAATCGATGCGCGATTCGTGGTTTTAGTATTGGCTGATGTGATTTGACACCACGCCGAGTTCGTATGATATTTTAGGACTTGTTGGTATATCTGGTTGAGGTCCCGGGGGCCTCGAGTAAGATTCAAATTGATTACAGATTGAATTTGGCTTTGTTGAACTGGAGAAATTCTGATGTCTGGTTTCCTTGTTCGCGTTCGCGAAAGGTAACTGGGAGGCATGCGAATCTTGTGCTTCGCATTCGCGAAGATGGACACACGCTCGTGAAGGTATAGGGAGTTTGTTCATCGTGATCACGAGGGGGTGATCGCGTTCACATAGGAGGTTGAGGCAGGTGGGGCATCAGGCTTGTAAGCCTCTCATTCGCGAATGCGGGGTCGCGTTCGCGTAGGACTTGGTTTAGTGTTCATCACATTCACGTGGGGGTTCTCGCGTTCGTGTAAGAGGATTTTTGGCAGCAGAGTATTTTGTGCTACAACGCAAGGCACTTTCCGCGGTCGTGAAGAAGGTCATCTTGGGAGAGTATAATAAGTTTTGAAAAATGGGGGTTTGAGAATATTTCATAATTGGACTTTGGGAGCTTGGTTTGAGACGATTCTTGGATGAATTTTCAAGGTACTGATTGGGGTAAGTGATTTTATCTCGGATTTGTTTAATATACATGAATATACCATTGTTTTTATCATTTAGTTAGTATTTTGGGTTGTAAAAGTTGGGGAAAATTGTAAAAACTTTATATGCTTTAGTTTAAGGATTTGAAGGTCGAGTTTTGATCGGAATTGAGTAGTTTTGGTATGGTTGGACTCGTGGTTGAATGAGTGTTTGAATTATGTTAATTTTGTCGGATTTCGAGATGTGAGACCGGAGCCGACTTTTTGACTTTTGTTAAAGAACTTAGCCTTATTATATGAAATTGACACCTATAGCTTGTGTTGATAGTATTAAGTTATTTTTAGCTAGATTCGAGCCTTCCGGAGATCGATACGTGTAGGAAGTGCTTGTTAGCGGAGTGATTTGATTTTCTTGAGGTAAATATCTTATTTAAACTCGACTGAGGCACTAGTTGCCTGAATTGATGTGATAGCTGTGTGCTATTAGGTGCGCATATGCGTGGGGATGAATCCATGTGCGGGCACCGGGATTAGTTATTCATGTTCGGATTGTTCTCCTGTTCTCATAAGCCTAGAATTTGACTGTTAAACCTTAAGCTATGATGCTTCACATTTATGTCATTGTTATGAACTATTCTGGCCATGTTTGAGGCTACATAAGGGTTTAATCCCCGAATGAACTAAGAAATGTTAGTCTTTGATGAAATTTGTTGGTTTGAGCTATGACAGTACACTTGCACATGCCTACACTTTAGCATATTGTTTATGCCAGTCCGAGAGCATGATGTCGCACCCCTTTTTCTTGCGAAATCAAGTTTCGACACGTGACAACTCTTTTAAGGAAGGTGTTAAAAGAGAGAGTCGCCACTTAACGGGTTTGAGGTGCATTAGGGCACCTATTTTGCAGATAACTCTATTTTACTAGTTTGCATGACCAAATATCGGGTAAGGACTCGAAATTACCTCGAAGAGAAGGTATTAAACACTCCTCGAGGTCCACAACTATGGGTCCTAGCCGAACTCGAATTATATGAATTAGTCTATGTGATCAAATAAACGGAGAGAGAGAGCACAAGAATTTAAGAAGTTTATTATAAACAGATTTTGAACAAAGGGTATAACTATTTTGATTTTTATAGGAAAAGAAAGAAAACGGGTTG